TGTGAAGCAGTATCTTTGCGATATTTAACCACAAAGTCGACAAATGAAAACGTCCCGCATATCTCCTCCTTGAGCAATAAGTCCAGACCCAACTTCTGCAAATGAAAATGTCCCACTCATCTCCACCTTATGCGACATTTAACCACAAAGTCCGCAAAATAAAAACAAGTAACAACTAAGCACTAAGTCTAGTTTGAAAAACTTGAAGAACAAGACAAGAAGCGAACTAGTTTCAGAGTCCTTGATTCATATTCATAGTTATGAGTTCCTGGTATTGAGTCTCATATTTCAATTTCTTTGGTTTCCAAGATAAAGAACGCCAAATAAAAGTGGCTCACCGAGAGGTTGTAAATCGGGACAATCTAAATAATGCACAAATATACAATATTTATGAATTTATCATAGGAGGGTTAAGTCATTTCCTTTTATAAAACAACATTACAATATACCTTATCACATAAAAGTAGCTCATTTGTACGGTATCTCTCAAGTATCTTATATTTACCCATGACAAACATAAATTGCTCCTCGTTACAATGAAACGCACGATCCTAGAAAAGAAAAAAATAGTTAACCACACCAGCTATATGTAACAAACGAATAGATTATTTCCTTGCCAAGAATAGACCAGCAGACAACTGTACCGCAACTGAAGGTGGAAAGAACCAAGACAAGCCACCATTGTGACCACTCTTTCGTTCTTCTAGTCTCTTGCACAAACAAGCCATTTCTATAATCTAATGCATCATCATCATCACATATTCCAAAGCCGAAATTAATAGTTCAATCTACTAAACTACACACACAAAAGAACTAAACCATGTTGTAAGTTTCGCCTTGTGCAAAAGCTGTGCTAATTCCTCAAGAAGCAAAGTAAAAGCCCCCGCCATCAAGACTAACCAACACGTCACTGTTATACAAGAACAATTTTAAACACCGCAACATTGGAATAAGGAAAATAAGAAAGACATCCTACAAATATGATCCAATCTTACTTATAATGATTTTGGGAGGTACCTTACAGGAAGCTAACTACTAAATGCAAATTGAATCATCTTTAGTGTCTCCTCGGTCACTGTTGTCTTAACAACAAAGGGAGGAGCAAAGTACAAAAATGGTTCTTTTTTTAGCTTTGGGATTTACCTGTTTGAATGGAGAGACTAAATACAAGCTAGGCTTCAATTTAGATACATTACGTAGTTCGCCTCGCTTTCGCCCCGTTATTGATCAAAATCACAAAAATAAAACCAGTCCATTAGTAACCACACCATAAAAAAGTAGAAAATAAAATCAAGTGTTATACCTTCCCAGTCTTGGCACAACCATCAGTAGCATCTACACTTTCATCACTCAAAAGTATGAATTTCTCGACTTTAGACGCTTTCGCCTGCTTGCAAGGAGCCTTTTCAAAAACTTTGAGAGAAGGAGATTTAGAACACCTATCATCTGAAAGGATATCTACAATTTTCGCCTCAGCCTCTCCCAAAATCTTAACATCTAACCCTTGAGTCTTGACACCTTCGGAGGTAGGCAGAATGGGCTCACTTGGTTTTTCAACCTCATCCTTCTGATTGTCCTCTTCTCTTCTGGTAGGCTGCTCCGTTGACAACAAGTCAACGGTAGATGCTTTCACCTTTTTAGCCTCATCCTTTTGATCGTCCTTTTTCACTTCAGCATGCTACTCCCTTGACAGCACGTCAACTCTAGTTGCTTTCACTATTTACATGATCGACTTAACTGCAACACCAATTTCCTCTCTAAATGCTCGAAATTCATTCTCCATCTTCATAACCCGACCCATTATCTCTTCATCCCTAGAAGCAACATCACCCACTGCGAGTTTACATTCTTGACTGAAGTCTTCAAATCTAGCCTCCATCATACTAAAACGAGCATCAATACGCTCATAAAGAAGCAGCTCATCATCGTCGGTTTTATGTCGTTTCCCGTCTTTTTGTGTCATTTTCTTGAAGGTGATTTCACACCTGCATCCTCGGATGATCTTTTCCCCAAACTGGTTGAAACCTATAAATTATTAAAAAGGGAACCAAATATACCATTATCATGCTCCAACTCGTCAAAAGAATCAAACATACCATTTTGCACTATCAGCTAATAATGCTTACCACTTTCGTTAACAACTCTATGTCTGTGTTTCCCCAACTCATCAAAGGCAAACTTGTATCAATGGTGTGGAAAATACCATTTGCATGCTCCAAGAAAATTAACTACAAAACAAAAAAAAAATCAACATGATGACTAATCATTACGAATATGTAAAAAGTACGGTTAAGTAAGTATTTATCTCCAAAAACAGCAAGCAACCAGGTATATACTTCTTCCTCTAAGTATTATGGCTGCAGATGCATTTCACTAATTCATTGAAGCAATAGGAAGCCCAATTCTTCTTCGGAATGTCCGCAACAACGGACACAGCGTATGCCAAAGATATAGAAATGTCATCTCTTCTGGTAGGTACTAATAGCACCCCCATTACGTACAAAATAAAAGTTTGAACAAATAGATCGCTGCTATCTTTTATCTTCGACAACTTCTTTTGCATTATGCTTGTGGAAATCGCCTGTCAGCCACAATCAAGATTCGAATACACTCTAAATGGTTACAGTTCCTCGGATCTTCCTCCCACTTCTTCTCCATCTAAGACGATATCAGTCCCACCCTCGGGCACACCCATAATTCGCTCGAAATCTTTGGCCGAAATATGCACCTTTAGCCCTTAAGCTTGAACTGTGCTCTCTTCGAGATTAAAGCTCTTTAAGATTTTTTCCAAGAACTCACGTTGTAACATTCTACCCTTGACTTCAAGCATATGACCAAAACCACATCTCTTAATGGCCTCTGATTGACAACCCTCTAACATTGAGACTAGGGAGCATACTTTTCTTGGAGAACATTGCGTGCTAAAAAGGTTATGGCTCTTCCTCTTCATTATAGAACAATTTCAACAAACTGCAAAATTAAAACAACAGCAAAATTATAAGCATGCCCAAGAATACCAACTCATGAACTATCACAGTTTGCTAGCTGTTAAATCATAGAAAACATCCATGCCAGAAGGATCAAATCCAACAGAAAACTTGCAGTGGATTTCTGATAATCACACATGTGATTAAGCACTTCACACATTGTATACAAAGAATTGGAGTTGGCAGGGTTGACACATTATTTCCCTCCCGAACATGCAAGCACATGGTTTACCAGCCAATACAATATAATGGTATGCTAAACACATATGCAATAGCAACATTACTATCTAAGCTTCTACTTATCACAGAATCAAAATGAAGACATTATTGTAATAACTAACACGAACCAGTTTGCAAGTAAATCAAAATGAATTGAAGCTAACAAGGAAGGAATCTTCAAGCCCAACAAGATCTTGTATCTAAGTGATCAAGATCTTCTGGTACTCAAAACAACTGCCACTAAATTCGAAAGATTGCTAATAGCTTTAGAGGATTAAAGTTGAAATGAAAGTTGAACTCCCATCGAACAAAGATTTAGTATCCACATGTTAATAAAGCCAAAAGAAGCATGGTTAGGTCAGAGGGCATCAAATCCATGTTAGGTCAGGAAATCTCTATAGGAAGTGAGAAATGAAGCATCCAAAAGAAGTTTTCTGAAGCTATGGTAAAATCCTAATTCGGCTCTAATTTGCAAAACCCTAATTCTCTCATCTCTACGGAATTCCAAACCCCTAATTCGGACCAACCTAGGAAACTAAACCCTAAACATGCGACAACCTAGAAGAACTCACCCTAAAAATGATGAAGAACACACAAAATCAATCGCTATGATCAATACTCATGAGGCTAAACCACAACTCTAATTTCCTCAAGTAATTTTAGAAATAGAACGAGGAATCGCGCGCGGAACTTTCAGGGATGACGAGATTGGAGTTTCCTGAACGAGAACAGAGAGCTTTAGCTGCTGAAATGGCTTCTTGCGGATTGAGCTTGTTTCTTTAGCTACGGCTTTGGCTTCTCGGGGTTGGAGAAGCTTCGAGGCAGAGAGGTGCTTCGAACAGGGGACAATTTCATAAGGAAGTGGAGAGAAGGTGAAGTAGGAGAAGAGGTTGAGAAGTGGTCGCCGACGCCGCTTACCTTTGTGAGACGTTAGGGGTCGAGCTTCGAACAGAGGAGGAAGAGGGGGAGGCAGTCGTATATTGTTTGGTTTGGTTCTAAAATTTCAATCAGTAAAGGAACTTTATGGTTCCTATTTCACGGTTCCGTCTCCTGCGCGTGAGACTATCAATGCTAAGCTGTGAGGCTGGCTGTGTATTATACAATTGCTAAGTACATCTCACGGTCGTGAGATTCCCAGAATGAGCTGTGAGATTTGCCCGCAAAATTGAACTTGTCAACCGGTGGAACAGGTAGTCAATACCAAAATAAAAACAAATAATTAATTGAACAAGATTAATGGCTCACAATATTTAACAAGATCCAATGGTTATAAACATAGTAAAACACCCATGCTATATAGCATACTAAAAACTCTCTCATTTTCCACCATGAAACTGGTTAAACTAAGGATATCGAACTAGTTCTTAAACTAACTGTACGATGAGGCAATAATCAGGACGTAAATAACGAAATTTCACAACTTCAGCTGGCCAGAGAGAAACCTAAATCCATCCATCCTCATCACACCCTTATCAAATTCTGTTCCTGTCAAACAAAGAACCATTGTTGTAGCCGCATCAGCATCATCCACAGCCGATGTATGGTCCTCATCCTTCAACCTATTTCCAAGCAATTCCACCAAGCTGTAACAGAAAAGAAGGGGGAAAATAAGGGCAATTCGATTAGAAACCAATTGATTTTGCTTGCTTGTACACAACTAGCTAACTAACATCCGGAGGAGATTTAATTAGCGGCGGAATTGCGTCTGGTTACTCAGCATCTTGTATTATCTATTATGAACATTATCATTGTAAAAAAAACTAATTAAGAGTGGACGGGACCAGTAAGGACCACCGATCAATCACGAGCATTTTGTCATTAATATCCCCGCCGCGGCACTCTCAAAGCTCCTCGATGCTCTAGGCTCCATCTGAATGATATGCTGCTCCGCTTTAACAACTGCTTCTTCAAGCCTCTTCCACCATGTTTGCTTCAACTCATTTGCACGGCCAGTGCCAAGCCTAAAGTGTTCGTAACTGACAAAATGCAGGCCCTGTTAACTAGCTAGCAAGCGTAAAAAAAATATACAAACCCTATGTACTAGGAAATAGGTATTTCAAAATTTGGAATCTTACGCTTTTAAGAGTTTCAGACCCATTGGCGAATCATCAGGATGGCCAAATCTCCAAGGAATCTCTTTAATTTTCTCGCCAATCGAACAAGCAATATCCCTAGATTTCAACCAGGACCACACAGAATAGTCATATCTAGACTTCAACCGGCGGTAAGAGCAGTGACGGAGGGAGGTGGAAGGGAGAGAAAACAACACAAAATAGTCATATCTAGCCTTCTCTGGATAAGAAGAAGAAAAAACAACACAAGAGAGAGAATTATAAGGATGATGAAAACAGATGAACATGTACCAAACCAGATACAATATACATACCGTACCTTCTTCGACGGACATTTCTGCGAATAGATCGGCTGTAGACATTGAGAGGAATAATGATTGACGAAACAGAGCTGCGCTAGGATTTTTATTTGGTGGAAGGAAGCGGGAAGACAGGGATTTAATTTACTGCCCTAAAGTTCAGCTGAAAGTGAGATAAGTCTGTATTTATTTATGAATGATAGCTATTGGATTTTAAAATTAATTTTTAATTATATATATGTATATATTTATATAACTATATATAATTTAGTGATAAAAACATTTCAGGTTGCATTAATTTTTTATTTAGTTATACTATAGTTATTAAAAAAATTAAATAAGTACTAATTATTCACATAATTGTCAAAATATTTTAGATTGGTTAGGTTTGTATTTAGTTATTAAAGTGATCAAATAATTATTTAGATTAGTGACAAAAAAAAATTAGATTGTGTTAATTTCGATTACAAATACAAACATTAATTTGGTTAACTTACACGATGGATCAGTGGGAGATTAATTGCTTGCTACAGTATGAGTTGATCATTGGACGGCATTCTCGTGGGGTAGCAGTTATTGTATGACGAAGCTCGCGCCGGAGTTCAACATTCAGAGCTAGCTCACCTAGTCGACATCAATCTCTGCAAGGATCTGGGTACTACTATCGTTTTCAGCCTTTGCATAGGACGGCAATTGGACACCAACACCTTCCACACGTCATCTGAAGAGATGATGATCCTCTTCCACAACGTGCATCACATCCGTCGTGTATTCAAATAGACAAAGAGACGATGAGCTTGGAAGATGGGGATATGGTGTACTGTTTATGGACAAGAGTAAAGACCGCTTAAAGGTTGTTGTCAACTTGTTATTGAAGAACCCGATAATGGGTACTCTTGAAGGGCTAGAGAACTTGTTTGGTTGTACAACCAGCTTTGCAAGAGGCTATGAGAGAGTGACTAGTTTGTTTTTACCTTAATGTAGTACTAGATTTATGATTACTTCCTTAGCCTGAGACTGGGTTGATTAAAACCATGAGAGGTAGCATATAGGGGAAACCTGGTGGTGCAGTGGGGTGGTAGGGGATTCCATTTCGACCTAAGACGAACCATAAGAGAGATACTTAGTTACTAGCTTACTAAGAGACAACATGAGAGTCAAGAAGGTAGATTGGACACGGTACGACTAGTTCCCCATACCACGGTAGAGCATTTTTCTACAATAGGAACTTTTTTTCTTCTTTTAATGAAATAAAAAGGGAACTTTTAATTGCTAAAAGGACATGATAGACAATATCATCATTCATAGGCAATTAAAATTTTTGATATCATCACCCTATTAAAGTCGTGACTTCACCATGTCATGATTAAGAAATAATAATAGACAATTTGCAAGGGAAGAGATGTAATTTGCGTTGGCCTTTTGGAGAAAGAATGATGCCTGGAATTTGTCGCCGCTGAGTTAGGCGGTGACGATGTGGTAAGCCGGCGAGTCTCCACGAAATGCATGCGCCGGTGAAACGGATGTCGGCGGAGATGGTGATATGACCCCAAATTGCTTGCTATTGAAGCTTCCATGGAGTGATCAAGAAGCTAATCCATTAAGCAACAAAGAACCTGAAAATTGTCCCAAGTCTTTTCGGTGTTTGAGGTTACCTATGTTAAAAGGTAATTTGCAATTAATAAAAATAAATTATTGCAAAGGCAATGGACAATATTGAAACAACAAGATGATAAGGTCAATTATCAATTGTCCACTTGTATACAACGTGCATATGTTGGGCTGCCAACAAGGAGAAGTTATGAAGAGCCATTTGGATTGCATGATGATGAAGACCATTTGGCTTTGTCCAAATAACTATGGAATTTGACGTATCTACTCAATGATCTTCTCATCCACAACATGTTATGTGTCTGTAATAATAGATAGAAATCAACCAATTGCATTTAGTGTGAAGGGAAAAAATGTTACCATTTCCCATTATATATGTGTACGTGAGGCATGGGAAAGTGTCAGAGAGAAGAAGCATAAAAATATAGGGAAAAAGAAAGTTTCTGCGTGTGTGTTTTGTAAAGACAAGAGCCAAAAAGTTAAGGCCTTGTTTGGTTAAGTCTATATTTCCTAAATTGAGTGATTAAACACCAAAAATTTCCTTTGTTATGATCCAAAATTACCATTACTTCCGCTAATACCCAACAAATTTGGTATCGGAGGTAATACCCTTCTATCCTCTCAAACACCCCCACATTTCTAGCCTACACAAACTTTCTCAAAAAAGCCATGGCAACAACTTCATCAAACACCATGTTTGCTACCTACTCTAATCAATTTCCCATTTTTTATGGAGAATTGTACGAGTACTGGAGTGCCCAAATGGAGTTAATTTTCATCTCTCAAGATCTGTTGGATATCGTCCAAGAAGGATATGAAGATCCACAAGATGAGGATGAAGACTCGAAGAAACGAGCAGGCAAACAGACAAAGGAGTACATATCGGGCCAGCAGTTTTATGACAAAACTCAAAGTGAAAACAACTCATCGTCTGGTGGAATTTTGGCGCTTGCTGGTGTCCATTAATCTAATTGCAAGCATAATGATTGCTAAAATTAAGCTTTCACGCAACACACTAGGAGTTGGGGGTGTGAAGTTGGAGTAAAAGTGGCTAATTATCATAAATGGTCACAAAACTATTCACTTTGTACAAAACGGTCATAAACCTTTAATTTTGCACGTTTCAGTAACATATGTTTACACTAATAACAAAATGGTAATTCCGTCCATCTCCATCCAAAATTCCGTTAGTTTATCCCAGTCAGCATGCCATGTCATCAACAAATAATAATAAAAAACCAATAAACCAAACCAATTGTACCGGACCAGACCAAACCAAACTCAACTCCACCCAAAAATTATACCCAATAAAAATACAAATCCAATCCGAGCGAGACCGTGAGCAGAAAAACTCGGTTAGATTGCCCGTAAAGCTCGAAGAAGAAGAAGAATCGCTATCCCCTGCTTTAATTGTCGTACTCCAATTCCCTTGATTCTGACCTGGACCTGGATTCTCCCCAGTCCGGCGCTTCGGGTGCCAGCAGTGGGTCGTCATCGCCGTCGCCGCGAGTGGTAATCGAGAGGAGGCAGGTGGGAGAGAGCGGGAGGTATAATTTCAGGGGCGGGAGAAAGAGGCTCGTCTTCGGTTGCAGAACTGTAGGCCCCCGAACCACTTTGGAAACGCCGCCGCCTACTGAGGTCGCAGCATCCCGCCGTTCACTGCAAGCTTGTTGCTGATCAGCCGGCAACAATATAGCTTCTAGCGATTGAGATACGACGGGGTAATTGAGGCCCCAAGCATCTGGGCCTCAGGGGAAGAAATGCAACATACAGCTTCATGAAAATGTATGATTCCTCACCAAACCAATTTTGGTGGATGATTTTGGATTGGGAGATGATGATTGTATCGTGAGGATGATTGTCGGATTAGGGTTACAGAGAGAGGAAAACATATTTGAGTCCTGTTCTCAGATTGGATTTGTATTTTTATTGGGTATAATTTTTGGGTGGAATTGAGTTTGGTTTAATTGGTTTGGTTTATTGGTTTTTTATTGTTATTTGTTGATGACATGGCGTGCTGACTGGGGCAAACTAACGGAATTTTGGATGGAGATGGACGGAATTACCATTTTGTTATTAGTGCAAACATAAGTTACTGAAACGTGCAAAATTAAAGGTTTGTGACCGTTTTGTACAAAGTGAATAGTTTTGTGACCATTTATGATAATTAGCCGAGTAAAAGTTGATATTGGGTTTGGGAAGGGAAGTGGTGAGAGGAAGAAATTGTGTTTGGATTTGGTAGCAGGTAAAGTTCATGGTTCGGTTTCTTTTCGTAAAATGCTTTGATTTATTTTAGTTAGAGGTATAATATCATGGTTATGTGGGATCAAATGAACCAAAATGAGCTTGGGGATGGGAATTCCAACTTAGAAGGAGTGGATTAGATTTTGATAAACTCAAGTTCATGATTAACTGAAAGAATATTTAGATTTAGACTTAGTGGTATTGAGATGTTCATAGAGAGTTTAAAACTGATCCAATGCCATGGATTGATATTGGTTAGTTGATTGTGATTTTGAGGAGGGTGTATAAAAATTCATTGAAGTAGTTTGCAGCAAGTGAAGGCAGTGAAGAGGCAGTTGGTTAGGGTAGTGATTGAACCAAGGAGGGTATTGAAAGACATAGAAGCAAAATCGGAGCAGTTGAAGAGAGAGAAGGAGGAGAAGATTAAAACTGCCCCGAGGAAGTGAAATGGATAAGGTGAAGGCAGAGAAGGAGGAGAAGAGCATATTGATGGAATTCAAGATGAGTGTTGGTTTTACGAGCTTATTAAAACTGCCCCGAGGAAGATGAGTTTGCCAAATACAAGAAAGAGGATTGAGGAGTTGGAGATCAAGCTCACAAGAAACTCAATTGAAAGAGAAATTCAGGTTCATGGAGAGAAGGTCTATCAAAGTAGCATAAATGGAGTTGCAGAAGGAGGATTAGAAATTGAATTTTGGTTTAAAACATATACGTCGAGAGATTGAAGATGGAGGGGATAAAAAGTTGGTTGTACAACGGATAGTAGAAACTATTGGATCTTTAGGTGTTATGGTTGTTGCAACTATAGGTGTCAAAACATAGCCCGACCCGATTAACCCGCCAGATCAACCCGACCCGCAACCCGAATTGACTAAAAGTCAACAACCCGTAACCCGCCCGACCCGCAACCCGAC